CTTACCAGACTTAGCAATGTGGCCAGGATCTCAGCCTGTGATCTTATGACATGATATATAAAGAGGACATTTTTTACCTTTTTACATTTTACATTTTTTACCTTTTTTTAAACAGGACAATAAAAACAGGACATTTTCTTCCATCACATTGTCATCATCTTGTCATATTGTCACATTGTCTCATTTGTGGAATGACCCATAAAGGGCTGCAATGATGCATGTTGTTACCGTGGCTCACTTTAACGCCCGGATGGAATGAATGAACCGTAGACCGTTAGCGATTACAGCACGTGCGCTTTCACACGTTTTATTTGGATTGCTTCGGTGGTGGCGATGGGCGATAAATTGGTGGCATGACGTCGCGAAAGAAGCGTAACGGTGTGTCGCACAGTCTCATGTCAGCCACATAAATTTATGTGGTACATTGGTCGATACTTTGAAATTGGATTCACACCTCCATCGGCTCTGGCTGCCGAAATATGGCATAAAATGCGAAAACGGGTATATCGATCTTTGCCGCTGATGTGTATGTGAACGTGGCGCGTGCTGATTTCATTTTAGTAATAACAGGAACCGCATTATACATCCGTGAACTCCCCATATGTCAGGATAGGTCACTGACCTAAAATGACCCAGCTCAACGTTTTTTAGGAAGGTACTGCCTCGCGTAATCTTAGTCGCTTATTCAAATGCAAAGCTTAAAACAGTCTTGTGCGATTTGGCTTCTTTGACCTTGGAAAGGTCAAACAGGGTCACTGACTTTACATTTTATTGTGACACAGGATGTGATTATGGACTTGAGTCAGGATAGGTCACCGACTTAAAATGACCCCGGTCAACGTTTTGTTTTTAGGAGCATACTGCCTCTCGTAATCTTTGTCGCTTATTCAGATGCCAAGCTCAAAGCAGTCTTGTATGATTTGGTCGCCATGACTTTCGAAATGTCGAACAAGGTCACTGACGTTAAATGAGGATGTGACCTTTTGCTTAGAGCAGGTATATAGGCTCTGGAGGCACTTTCGAGGCCAACCCGGGGATTGACCTTGCTTGACCTCATTAACCCGAAGGTCATGATCGACCTATGTAAGTGAGTTAATGTACAGGCCGATGCACCTTGTGAATTTTGCGTCCAGCTCTCTTAGTTCCTGAGATCTCAGGGGGCGGGGGTTAAACTGACCCCCCCCCCCCCCAACCGAGCTAAGAGTACCCAGTCGGCCACCCGTGCGTGTGTTAAGCCTCCCAACACGCGCAGTGCGCGCGATTCAAAAGGCTAAAGAGACAGACACATACAGACGCAGACTCAGACGCAGGCTGGCAGGCAGGTTTTCCTAAAATATGCAGATAATATAACACACCAATATCGTACCTGGACTTACAAGGCCGGCACAGATAATTATCAGGCAGGATCTCGTATCATTTATTTTTAAAGCCCCGATTGCCCCCAGTTGGTATGGTTGAAAGTCGGTGATCACGAATTATATCACAACAGTACTTTTTCCGGTTTGATTTTCTGTACATTGCCTTGCAAGCCCCAGAAACCGAGATCCAAGCTCCGTTAGACCCATTACGCATGAAGTTTGACCCTCAGGGGACGTTTTATGCCACACACGGAACTCGCCAAAATCTTGGAAAAATAATAAGTCGGTATCCTGAAATGCTCATGCCGTTATTTCATTGTTGATGATGAATGGTATGGCACACAGGTGACGCGAGTTGACGGCATCCAGCCATGGTTAAGATTGGGCTGCAGCTGAAGGCCACGCTGGAGAACGTGGCGAGCGTGCAGCCGGATGAAGACGACTTCCGCTGGTACCTGAAGCTGCGCTGCGCCAACTGCGGCGACGAGCCGGACCACTTTCAGTACGCATGTGGTTTGGATACCACACCGGTTAGGGGCGGACGGGGACACGCCAACCTTGTGGTCAAGTGCAAGCTGTGTGGCCGCGAGAACACGCTCGACATCGTGGAGAACAGCGGGCGCCCACTGACAGAGAGCGACATCTTCCAGACAGTGGTGGCGTTCGACTGCCGTGGCCTGGAGCCCACCGACTTCTCGCCGCGCATCGGCTGGGCCTGCCGTGGTACCGACTCCGACACCCCCTTCGCCAACGTCGACCTCTCCGAGAAGGAGTGGGTCGAGTACGACGAGAAGGCCAACCAGTCGGTAGGCATCTACGACGTGCAGTGTCGTTTCGTCAAGCTGAAGTGAACACGCGGTTGACGGCGGCCATGGGGTGCTGAGTGTGGCGGCGTGGTCTACGGCACCAGGGTCGTATCGCGCTTGTGGGCCCTGGTGTGCAACTTGCACGCTATGGGCACTATAGGCCGCGGGTACGAGTTGAGGTGATGAGTTGGGTGATAAGGGTAATTATTTTGTGCTGGGGTGATTCTTTTTTTGCTGTAGTGAGCTGAGATGTTCTCACAATTTCGAAGCATGCACATTACTTAAGTGACTAGCTTGAAGTGTTTTTAACGACAGCTGCGCACTGCATGACGCCGTCTGCGTTGTTGCATTGCCTGCTGAAATGTGATGTTTTTGTCAACATTGCAACAATTTGTTTCATACAAATGATTGTCAACAGCGCCGCCATACAATGGCGTCTTGCTCACAAACACAAGTTGTGACTGAAATGGACAACGGCCCATGTTTTGAGCGGGACTGGCATAATAGATTTTACCTTTTAATTTTTATTTTTGACGTAATGGATTGAAAACAAATCGCATTGCATAAAGATCCTGCGAAGAGCTGCTCAGTCCGATGTGTGGTTTTTGTGTAACACAGCAGTTACGTAAATGCCATTCCGCCTTCAGGCGTGATTCGTGCCTCCGCCAAATGGTCTTCAAGCCAGATCAGGTCATAGGAGCTCCTACGGTACCATATATACGAAATTTGCGATATCAGTCAAACACGCATACGACATTGGTATCATATATATATATATATATATATATATATATATATATATATATATATATATATACTCTACACTTCGCCCGGGAGCGATCGCGTTGCTTTGGGCGAAACGCGGCGTCGCTTACGTAAAGCCAGGGCGTTGAAATCCCAATGCCTCTACACGCGTTTGCACGACTCAGCCGATTGACGTCACCGGGGTTACACTTTCATGGTGTTTGATGACTTGCTTTTAAATGAAAGTAAAGCCTTCTGTGGTTTTATTAGCAATTTCAGTCTCTTCAGCGTCAGTGCTTTTTATTATTGTGAAAGCTATACTTTTCCAGTACTATTTTGCAGTGAATTAGTGGACCTCTATGGCAGATTGCAGCACTTTTAAGCAGTTTTTGCCGACAATGCTATGGGTTGTTATGGGCGACAGCGTGACGCTTCGCAGACGCAGGCAAGGCTATCTAGCGCAGGGGTGGTTGTCGAACCCATGGACGGCTGAGAGTTGAATAGTGAGTGGAAATTTCATTTATCATTGAAAACAGCGTGGGAAATGCTATTTCGAATCTTCAATCATTTCATCGTGGCGAAGGCAGGTATGTATGAATCAGTGTGTTGTGGGCTAAGTGCGGTCTCTGAAAGAAGCGGTAGCGGTATAATATTTATGGAGAGGGTGGGGAATAGAGGTGACCCAATTTGCACCTGTGATTTGTACGGCAATTATTTGTATCTCGTTCCTCTCCATGCACCGTCAAAAGCTGTTGTTTAATGCTTAAGTGCTCAATGCTGCGCGAAGTTGGAGGAGGAGGGCCTGCCCCTCCAATCCGCCGCCCGCAGGAAGAGCCACTGATGTCCAGGCTCGTGGTTGGCGGTTTGTATTTGAGGAAGAGCGGAACATTGATATTTGAAAACCCTGCATTTTCTATCCTTTTTTTGTGTCAGATATCATGTCATGTATAAATTGAGCCAAATGCAGCGCTAGTGGCGTATACAGAAGGGGAGGGGGTACAAGGGACACGAGCCCTCCCCCCTCCTTAAGTTCCCGCTTCCGAAGGTCCAGGAGGACCCACCGGGCCGATGATCAAGAACCCTAACGGAGGGCCTTGGGCACGGCCAAATGGAGTCTTCTTCAGGGGCCCGACCTGCGGGGACGGGCCCTCAGATGACGGTCAGTGGACCCTTTGCGCAGTTCGGGGACCCTTTAGTCGATAAATGTTTGGCACCGAGTCTGGCACTAGCACTAGCACTAGCATTGGCATTGGCACTGACACCTGAGTCCGGCATCACCAGCGCCGTACAGTCGGCGCCGTGTTGGTATGTGCGTGAGGGCCCACGTTCAGAACGAACAGCGACCAAGGTGGGACCCCTGCATCTATCAGTGGCCTACAGTGCCTACCAGAGGATTCTGTGGGTCCCGAGTCGACCAAGAGTAGTGTGCAATGAGACCCGAAGACGGGCCCGGGGGCTCGCCAAAACCGACAATCAAGAGCCTGACTGGAGGGCATGAGGGCCCGAAGGGCTGGCTGTAGGTCACACAAAGGATCACGACCCGTGCGACTGCGACCCAAAATATTAGACAGGGAGGCCTCCTATACCGTTTGAGGGCCCCTGAGACATTGCAATACCAAGTCATTGGATGCGCTTTGGTCTGAACCCGGGGATCCCATTTCCCAAGCAAGAACAAGGCCGAGGCCCATGATTTGCATCGGTCTGGGTGCCTGAAACAATGATTAGGCCCCAGTGTCGGTCATGGGTCCACGGTGCCTAACAGTGGACCATCTGTCGGCAGGTGTCCCCGAGTCCTCCACGGGCCTTGTTTGAGGAGGCCGAAAAAGGGCCCAAGGCCCTCTCGGGACCAAAGATCAAGGGCCCGATTGGAAGGCTGAAGGTGAAGAGGTCATAGGGCCAGAATGACCCCCGTATGTCGCAATAAGAACGCTCCCCGCCCGTCGGGCCGTGACCTTCAAAGCCGGTCAGAGGGCCACTGCATCGATTGGGATTCGTGGGACAGTGCGGGCCTCATACAAGTGTTTGAGCACTCAGCCTCGATCTGTGCCAGTCCAGTTCTAAAGTGAAAAGAGTGGCCGTGTGAGCCCACATTGAAAGGGAGATGGCTTGGGTACGCCCCTGGTGCATGTGCTGGGTATTTAACAAACAACAAATATGGCGGTGGAAAAGTTTCGCACTGTTCGGTTCCCTAACAGCCGGGCATCCCGCGCTGTGCGTTTTTCACTGCTGGACCTTTTGTCATCCTCAGGCTTGATTTATCACCGGGACGCGAGCATGCCCATCTGATTTTCGACGGATGGAGTCACATGCCCAGCACCGAACTAATCGTCTGAACTGGCCTCGGTGACCGTTCGCCCACTGCGCCAGGTGTGCCAGCTCCTGCAGAATACTTGAGACCTGTAGCACGTCCAGACCGAGGACGTCCTCGGCCGGCGGCAACTCAGCCACTCAACTTAGCAACTCCCTACCAGCATCGACTGGCCAATGGTCGGTGGAGGCATCTGATGTCGCCAATACTGTCGCACGACGCTCCATCTGCTGGAAGACCAATGCATTCGCCCAGCATGAACATGCCCTGCCTTCAAACAGCATGCTATCAATGTGGATACGTGGCTTCCAAGTTCCAGCTTGATGCTGGCGCCATCCATGCGGCACTCCGGGCGCTGAAGTCGGTGGTGGTGATCATGGACCCGCTGGAGTGCGTCTGATCCTGTTTCTGCGCTAGCGAGATAACGTTACGCGGTCGACAGTCTTATAACTCGGGCCTGCTGTCAGACGAGGGATATCGCTGTTAATTGACCCACTGATTTCATTATGAATAGCCAACAGGTTATGGACATGGGTCGTGATGTGTTCTTAAACGGCATTTCGTGCTCGAGCAAGTCGTGCCCGGTATTTGCCAGACAAAGGTGGAGCAGACCAGCGGTACCTCTTGCTCTATGAAACTAGCAACCGTCAGGGCCTAGTTCTGGTGAATGACTAGGCCCCAGTGTGCATTGACTTGACTGTTTCCGTTAGTTGGAGCCGCGCGAATGTGCCTGGCCAGCTCCGGGTCAGGAGCCCCTGTCGAGGAGTTTGGGGCACCTTACAAGCTTTTTGTGCTGTTATACACGACTGCTCCTCAACGCCTTTTCAGCCAGGAAGGTGGGAAATACGCCCGCACTCGCTCCGGTACACCGTTATAGGCTACATCGATGCGACCATTTTGATCTGTCGGGTGCTCTGCCAAACCGAAGCCCAATCCAAATACCAACTGGGGCTCAGAAGTTCCATAGATTCGCTTGGAGTATGTACCCCGCAGGGTGGCAGCTGTGATGCACGAAATAAACTGATAACCCGAGGGTGCAGTTTTAAGTCCATCTGGTGCTTCCGAAGTCATAGATAAGCCCTTACGTTCAGCGCTTCTTTAGCGCAAAACGCGGCGGATAGTCCTCGAAAAGCTTCCTTCCTGGATCCTATATTACCACATCGCCTTTTGAAATGCTCTCAAAGTTGGGTATAACTGTTAATTTTTCATTCATTCATATTTCCTTTGCACTCACGAATCATTCCACCCACCAAACGTGCTGTAATACGTGCGATCTCTCATGCTGTTATCACGCGCGCGGCCGTCTCATCGTTAAACGAGTGCCACCGGTGACGTCAAATAGGGATTTTGCCGGGGACTGCGTTGTCGGCAGGGGTGCATCCAAAGGGGGGGGGGGGGACGGGACCATGGCCCCCTTGGGCCCCGAAGGAATCCATTGGCTCCGAGGGGGCCCATCGCCGGCCGACAGGGGCAATTTTTTAACACGGCCCCCCTTCAACTTCGCGCAACCTTGAACATTTAAGCATTAAATAACAGCTTTTGACGGTGCATGGACAGGAACGAGATACAAATCATTGCCATACAAATCGCAGGTACAAATTGGGTCACCTCCCTTCCCCACCCTCTCCATAAATATTATACCGCTACCGCTTTTTTCAGAGACAAAGACCGCACTTAACCCACAACACACTGCATCATACACACCTGCCTTCGCCACGATGAAATGACTGAAGATTCGAAATAGCATTTTCCACGTTGTTGTCAATGATAAATGAAATTTCCACTCACTATTCAACTCTCAGCCGTCCATGGGTTCGACAACCACCCTTGCGCTAGATATCCTTGCTTGCGTCTGCGAAGCGTTACGCTGTCGCCCATAGCAATCCATAGCATTGTCGGCAAAAACTGTTTCAAAGTGCTGCAACCTGCCATAGCGGTCCACTAATTCACTGCAAAATAGTACTGGAAAAGTATAGTTTCACAATAATAAAAAGTACTGACGTTGAAGAGACTGAAACTGCCAATAAAACCACAGAAGGCTTCACTTTCATTTAAAAGCAAGTCATAAAACACCATGAAAGTGTATCCCCGGTGACGTCAATCGGCTGAGTCGTGCAAACGCGTGTAGAGGCATTGGGATGGCAACGCCCTGGCTTTATGGAAGCAACGCCGCGTTTCGCCCAAAGCAACGCGATCGCTCTCGGCCGAAGTGTAGACGCATATAATCACGTGGAGCCCGGTAAGGAACGCTGGGCAGCGCGGACATTGCGGTCTGTAACCGCCATACAGGAAGCAAAGGCAAGTCCCGCACGTGTGCTCAATAAGTGGCCTGCAGAGCACGACTTCCCCTCGCCTCGCTTCGCGGAAGCTGAACACCATAGACCAAATTCAGGTTTCACGGTTCTTAACTTTCTATGTTTCCCCACCCCGCTAGAGCTGTCACCTGCGTTTCACGGCTGACAAGATGGCTGCATAAAAATTGCATGGCGGAGGAGGAAATGAGCGTGTGCATAATGCAAGGAAAATTCGTCTCGTAGCTGAGTCTGCGAGCTCGTTTCCAATAATGCCGACATGGCTGGAAACCCAACAAAATCGTTATCTTCTTTTCGGCTCGGTCCAATCGCTGAGACGTTTTAAAAAGTCCTGTAAAGGAGGACATGGTGGAGCAAGAACCTTCAAGTCTAACAGGTTACTCAGAGTGTCAAAATGAGGTGCCATGAATCATCCCCTGCCTAAATAACCCCTAGCGCTTTGATAACGGCCATCAGCTCGGAGGTGAAGACCGGCGCGTGATATGGTGGCGTGAGTGGTTGGCTCGCGAGTCCGCCCACGAACGCCCGGCCAACACCTTTTGCAGTCTTCGATCCGGTCACGTTTGTCAGTGTGTGTCCCTCGCTTGGCGCCAGATGTTCTGACCCGCACAGCCCAATTCCCGCTGGAGATTCCTGTCGAAGACAATGCCTACCAAGGACACAACAGTACCAGCCGACATCGCGGCTTGTTTGGAGGGGGGATAGCGTGACAGTGCATCACACATCAGCACCGACCGGGCCGGGACGGACAGGGTAAGCCGGGGCAGCACAAAGCCACGACGTCATTAGACCACGAGTGGAGTTACAGAATGTCTACACAGGCTGTGTTGTTAAACAGACGGTAATACCGGGTGTGAGACTGCGTGTAGATGGAAAAACCGCATGGTTCTAAGATCGAAAGACCCCATTTCGGACAGCTCATTCCATTCGCCTCCAGTACAATCGGCTGGATCGAATGACCAGACGTTAAGAACTATGGTGCCCTATGGAATATCCACGGTTTATCTCAATTACCGCATGGCCTGTGTTCAAAGAAATGGTTGACACGATGGGTCATCACGGATTGAATGACTGATGACTAAATCATCATAGACTGAATGACTGTTCGGACATAAGATTTCAGCAGGCTAATGTCCGGACGGTTGTCAGGTGTGATTGGGTTCAGAAAACGGCTGGATGCTGTCCGGCTTTCGGCCATGAGCGTCCTACAACCCGAATTTCTTCCTTGGCATTGCCAGGATTTGAACGTCGGTGTTCTCATGCCAGTTTGGCGCCCTAATGTCTACCACAATAAGTAGGGCAGGTCCACTCCGGGTTTCTGGGATTCAGATTTTTGGGATGATTATCTTCCCAGCAAGCTCAGCGGGAGAACACTGGAAGCGCTCAGCAGACCGTGGTCGGATCAGGAAATTCCAAGTACATATTCGGGGTGGGGCGTATACCTAGCTGGAAGCAACTAAATCCGGTTCTTTACGCCCAATGACAGCAGACGACGGCCTGAGAATTCACTGGCCGAAATGTTGGCTACATACTAAAGCACCGAACGTGGACGGTCATCCCAAGCATTATTCCATCTGGAAAAACAATTGTTATCAACTGTAAAGCTTCCACAAAAATGGGCACGACGTTGGTGAAGCTTATTGCGCTTTCTTACTGAAAGCAGTCACCAGCACCCAATCCAAGTTCAAAATCTTATTCTGCGCTAAAATGGCAGACATTATTTACAGACCTAGCTTTCTGGCATGTCATCGCCTCCCCACGGAGCCAACGAAAAGGTCAGCACTGTAGCGACATATCAACGGAGCTGAGCTAACAAGCCACAAAATAGGCCCTACTACGATAAACCGATCATTTTCAGTTTTAACTATGTTCTTCCGCAAAACGAGGTGAACTTGTGGCTACATTCAGCCATAAATCATCCGCCTGTGAGTCGATGCCGGGTGCGGGTGGTATCGAGATGAGTACTTACTCGAGATGTCAAGGCATCAGGTGTGCTTTAGCAAGCAATGCGTTGAAAAGCGGCACGAAAATTAACGTTTTATATATTTAGATGGATAACTGGTAACGAACATGACATGTCCCCAGCAGGACTCAGAATGGCCGGCAGAATTTTCTATGTCTTCTGTAGTACTAGCCGCAATATCTTTCCGACATTAGCATTCCACCGAGCTGAAGCACATCAGATCATCAGCGCAAAAGGCCACAGTTTAGCATCAACTAAGTTTGTGCATATTCAGAAGTGATGAAGAAAACACATCCAACGCACACCTGTGACATAGACGTATTCAACGAGCACATAAGGCAGTAGGAGCACGATCGTCGCTGGCCATGAAAGCCTTCAATGCGCGGTCCCGTGACATTCAGGAGCGGCTCAGGCTAGCATGGTTTTCAGCTGTCCGCTGCGGTACAGACTCTGCGTTTCGGAGCCGCCTCCGATGCACTGACCCCGGATGAACACGCGGGGTACCTGACGGCACAAAATGAAGTCAGATTAAGTACGCATAGAAAAAAAGATGCGAAGTCCTATTCTGCAAGTCCAACTGGTTGCTTTTGTGTTGGTGAGTGGCGATCAAGCGCTGTATGTCGCCAAAGCTCTCATAAAGCGCCGGCAACCGCAGTGGTTGCGTTGGCGCTACAGCTACACTGTTCTTGTTATGGTCATCGCTCACACAACACCCTGCGTTTCCAGATCGCGCTGGTAATAAAGAGGATACGTTTTTATAGTCTGAACAAATTCTACCGCTCATATACTTTTGCAAAGTTCTTTGCCGTGATGAAGAAACAACCCCCAGCCTCCACTCCGCGTACGAGATGATCACACACCGTGCAGCTTCCTGCAGAAAACTGCAGGCTGCTTAGTTGCATAGAGCTAAGCTTGTAAATATAGTCTTGCTCCGGGTCGGACTGGGCCGCCATAACAAGCGCTTCCTCGACCGTGGAGGCAGCAGTGGTTGAGCACGGGACTGCGCTGGTTACAACCTAACCCCATGTGAACCTGAAGCCCGCCGCCACATCCAGACCATCTTACCGTCCGCGCACCAGTGAGCTGGCCAAGGTAGTCCTGCATGCTGCTCCCATCTTCATGCTGATCTAGCTCTACAAGGCCAAAATTCTCCCCAATCTCGTTAAAAACCTGTGAAAACGATGTCATTAAGTCACCGCTACCAGCAGATTTGCAACCACCTGCAACATAACGTTCCAAACCTATGCGAATTTGCTGCCCAGCTGCAGGTAAATATTTGGACGTTGACCGAAAAATGCCCACAAAAATTACATCAGAAGTGTACACATGTGTACATTTCAGAAATTTGGGACACCGGGGTTCGATTTCTTCTTAGTCCCTACGAATTTTAAATGCGCATGCCAAGTTCTGCCTATATACACATCCTTGTGCATAGTGGAATGGCCCGAGCTAAGTGATCCTGAAATTTAGCCACAGTGTTTGATGCTCAGCAGGAGATTTCTGATATCTTAAAATCTTAGGCGATTAGTTCGCCCGAGATATTTTATGAAATACACTGGGTCCTCCGACCTTACGAAATAATAGCTTGCCAAGGACGCAAGGGGCAGACGATTTCACACCACACCTCACCAAACAGGCTAAGGATTTTTGTAGCCCCAAGCTCTTTCGGATAACAGCTCAATTCAGCAAATTAATGTTCAAAATCTGTATATCAAGACAAGTGAGGCTTTCTTTTAACCGGGTGACGGCTTTTGTTTTACTCACAAAGAGGTGCACCGACAGTGTGGTGGTGTGGAGGCGGTAAGGCAAACCTCCGGAGGCATTCTGCACGACACGCTAGAAGCAACATGACCTGGGCACTTTTGTCCATCTCATGACTGCCTCGTGGCGCAACCGAAAGCTAACGCAAAGGTGAGGGTCAGGTGTAAACGAGATGCAGAGACGGGGCATTAACACAGCAGTGGAACGGTTACCATTCATCCCGTGGGAAGCGGGGGCAGTACAACACGATTAGTTTTTAGCATGGTTATCACATTGGGATCGTGATCGCTTATGAACCTTTTTGAGGCACAAACACGCCGGCGAAAAGTTACTAGCTATCAGCATACCTGCTTTGCCATCCTGCAATAAGGGCAGGATGACTTGGAGAACATCATCACTTTGTTTGACTTGATGAGTTTGTCCACAGCCTGTTTAACTTCCGGGGCAACCATTGTTGATTCTCCGGAACCCATTCACCTCTATCTGAAATATGTCGTTGTCAGCAGGAAGTCCCGACAATGACGCCCTTTAGTCTACAAGCATGCATGAGCAGCATTTCCTTTGGGTTAGGTGTGAAAAGCACCAGAGAACCTTGACAGCTGGTGCGGAATCCATGCCGACTTCCAGTCACGCCCCCCGTTTATTCCAAATAGCATTGTCCGCAACATTTCCACTAAAAGCAACCTTCCAGCATGCGGAGTAACATACCATGTTACTCTGTAACAGGTACCACGCAATATCATTTCATGTCATACCAAGAGTAGCATGCCATGCAAGTATATTACAAGACACCTGGAAAATCTTCATACACTTTTAACCTATGAGATTTGTTGCCAGTTTCTGAGCTATACCAAACAACCAGCTCCGTAAGAAATGATCGCACATGTCAAAAACCGCAGAACACGTCCGTCATCACACGTCATAACACGCCACAACACAGGTTGCATTCATAATTTTTTTTTCATGAAATATTTTCTTTTTTAAATATTATTATTTATTTATAATTTAAATAAACTATCAGAAATCACTCTGTAACATTTGCAACATCAATGTGGCAGCCTTCAGAATACGCAGTATGTGCGTTTACAGATTGGTGTGGATTTTCCACACCGATATATACTATATATAAATATATACATGTATACATATACTATATATATATATATATATATATATATATATTTCTAGGTCAAAATTACCCGTCAGAGCAAACTTCAAACATATTTCTCCACCCATGTGTGCATGCCCGCAGGACATTAGTTCTCAGCTACATACTGCCATTATGCGGACTCGCGTATCCCACAAACATCAGTACGCCACGACGTCCAGCTCAGCCAATCCAGACAGGAGCGCTGAGCTGAGCGTCTGCAGTACGCCCACGCCCCAAACGGCCGCAAAATACCGTCTTAGCATATGTTGTTGACCAAACACAGCGTTCGGTTGTTGGTCACCTAGCGTCTTATTAGCCAATTCAATTGAAAGGCCCGGGTTTGCACCATCTGCAAGAATAAGGATATATTTGTGTGGATAAGTCACGAGACTTCCAGCCACGCGGCGCCTCGTGTGAAGAGCGGCAGCGCCGCTTGGATGGGAGGAACACGGTAAGACATGTGGGAGGCTGGCAGGGAGCATATATATAAGTCTTTCCTAAAAGAACCCATATACTGAACGTCCCACGGGCCACCAAACTGCTAGCCAACAAGCAACGGGACCAGGTGAACTATCCCTCACATTTCAATGACACAGACATTGAGCTACTTCACGCACCAACTGTATGATGCCAAGGCTTACTAAGCCGATGCGCGCTATCTGGTGATAGTGTCAACATGACCTTAGCGGTCAAGACATGACGTCCCACGACGTTCATCATTTGCAAGATTCTGGACCACATCGCACGTTGGATCATCAATCATTTGGGTCCCAGGCGAAGCTTGGCCTGACGCTCCATATGATTCGGCTGTCACACTTCGCAGAAGGTAACATATTTACGAACAATGAATGTGGCTTCAGTTTTCGGCTGTAAAAACGCAATTGTTGAAATAGCACGCTGTATAAAAAGCTAGGCTTTTGGATGGGAGCAGCTCCATTGGACGAGTTTCTCCTGCAATGTGACCATAAAAAACTCACTCTATTTACATGAAACCATCCTATTCACATAAACCAGGTCAACTTCTGAAATGGCTTAAAGGAATGCTCTTCATTTGAAGATATTGAATCAAGCACCAGATGTGATTCAATAAGCTCACTTAAATCTATTAGCATACTTCTACCTTCAAGGTGGCTCTTCAGTTGAAAACCCCACAAAAATGTGAAACACTCCCTGCAAACTGTGAAGAATAAGGATCAACACCGGGTCAAAATGTCGAGACCGGCATGTTCTCACCTCAGTACATCAATCGCCTTGGTTTAAAAAATAATGTCCGTGTGTGGAGGCGGTCTCGCGCGCCCGTAAGCACACCATAAGTTCCCCGTTTTGGGAGCGTTTAAAGGCACATATGGCAATCAGACCAGACATAGACATCACAACAACTGCACTGTGTTCACGAACGTACCAGTTACATCTCAGTAATACATCCCGTACCATTCCCGCCCATAGGTGTGCATTTGATCAGCACAAAGGGCGGCCCACGTTAGCTGCTCACGGGCGATCTCCAACGGACGACAACGTGGCCCGAACAGCGAGCTCGGGCCATGATTATAGCACAGCCGTACATGCATGCCGTGATCAATATCCGCCCAAAATATTTGTGTTTTCTCGATGCTTTGGTCACAGTTGCAAAGCCACAATGATCTGCAAATTCATCGACTTCGACTGGACTGAAGCCGCCTGCGCTGCCTCGCCTCAGAGCCAGCGGAATATTTGCCCCTGGTGAGTTTGTAAGCAACATGGTCCGCAGGTTAGGGCAAGCACGCTACAGCAGCACACCCCGCCAGCTTGACTCACGATATGGGTCCGGAATGGGTGCCTCGAGCGGCAAATCAGACGACGGTCGGAGGCCTTCCGCCAGAACCACTGGCGCCAAGTCCAGGCAGCGGCGACCATCAGGGAGTGTTCCTTGCGGCGGACCACGCGGAGATCAGGACCGCCTTCCCCCAGAACCGTCTTCCACCGCCACGTCCGAACCACTGACTCAAAGTCAAGGCAAGAGGAGCGGAGCACGAATCTTACCTTGCAGTCTACAATTGGGCCCAATTGTTAGACCATCCCCACCAGATAAATTCGCCCGGGCTAACCCAGTCCACGTCGGCCTCCCATTGGTTCACGGCCACGTAACCACAACTGGGGCCCCGCGGCACGTGACTGCGCATGGCGGAAAAATCTCTACACATTTCCACCATAAAAGTAGCACAAACAAAAGGCTGGTCCCATGCCAGGGCGTAGCTTCGCACAATAAGTTTAAGGGTGGATGGGTGGGGGGCAGAGCTGTGAACAATGAAACATACCCTAAAACTGCGCCAACAAACAGGTTTCTTCCCGGATTTGGCCTTTCTTCTCTTCTTCTCAAAGTTGGGGTGGGGGAGGGCCAAAGTTGGGGGGGGGGGGGGGGGGTAGGGAAGGGGCTGGAGCCCCTCCAAATAAATGGGGAGCCTCGCATCTGCTTCAGATGCTACAATTCGGTTTCACAATCCTAACGCCGACCATGCTCGAATGATAATGGGTTAATTATGCTTATAAAGTCGGATTTCTCGAGCCCCAAGCCCCTAGCAGCCTGCGATGCCCTAAGGCAACCGGACGGTAGACTTGATCTCGACTCAGCAATCGCGTAGAAAATATGTCGCATGAGTAATCTGTTTTCGCCATAGGGAAAACAACTTGGGTGGAAGCTTATAAATGTGACCCAGAATAACCTCCCATGCGTATTTTACGAAGGAGACATCAGGCTATTATTGTACTGCGTTACCAGGCGCAAAAGGCCGGTATCAACATGTGCCACATGTTGGCGACTATTTCGGTAAGGTCCAAGGCCGGGTGCAAACCCCAGAGCAATGTGCAGGCAAAGCAGGAACGCAAGCCGTTCACAGCTGTCACTGAACTGTCTGTCACAGTTTGTCACAGCCGTCAATGAATTCCACATACCTGTTTTCCCCTCCTGTTGAACCAGAATATATGTTCGAAATCTCAGCTGCCAGTAATAGGGACACGGCCAAAGTCGAGCCATTTTGTAAACACTTACTGATCCTGCATATAATACTCCAATGCGGAAACCTTGCATTGTATAAAACGCACCGCATTGCGTCACAGTGGCGTTTGCGATCGCTGTGGTTGCCTTCCAGCGACCGTAGAACAATGACGCTTTCCGCTACGTCATGGCGGAACCATCCCAGCACGTCCGTGTATGACGCCAGACCAAGCCCGATGTCGATTGGTGTGGCCACAGCAGCCGCAGTGATCACACGCGCCGAAACAGTACATGGCGGTGAAAACAGTGAAACATGATATGGGGGAATCGGAGTGATAGTTTTCTCCCGAATAAATCTACTTAGCCACCCTCGTTGCATTTTTAAATTTTGCTCATTTTCACAGGTCCACAGCATTTTGGCCAAATTCACGTTTTGTTGTTGCTTGCAAAGTAGTCAAGAAATGGCTTTTCCGCAAAGGTAGGACCAGTTTGCAAAAACAAACTGGTTGTGGTTCATTTCGACCTGTGGCTACTGCTTGATAAACATTGTATTTAAAATCTGGTATTAATAACAACGTCCTGGCGGTTTTTCCGTGCAGTAGCTCTGCGCTTGGTCCAGCCGACGTGGTTAGTACGTGATTATTTCATTGATTGAAATTTATAGCACTCTTGGGAATTGGAACGTCTCTTTAAAGTGTATAATGTGCACGTGGGGGGGGGGAGATACCACTCCACACAATTTCTTCACTGAAAACCAGCTCGGCACTCCTCACGCGCGCGAAAATTCTTACATGGCATAAAACACCTGGGGAGCTTACTGTCCGCTGCTCGTTTCCATCAGTTTGCGCAATTATCCACGCAATAAATTATGTAAAGGAGAGGCATCTGCCCTGGAGCCACTAGGTGCGTCCGTTCTGGGGTTGCGTTAGGTGAGCTCTGGATCATGCACCATATTAAGTTTTAACCATGCGCATGGAAAAAACGCCATAGAAATGCCGTTTACGCCGTTTAAACTACGCTTCACCACCGTTGTAGAAATGTAGTGAATCTGGGGCACACGTTTTTGATAAATTTGTGATAGCCCTGGCCGATTTGCCGCACCCCTCGTGTACAGTGCCCATTCGCAGTGTTGAGTGAAAAATAGTTACGACCGTAAAATACAAATTCGTGTTTCGCGATTCGCATATCGAAGAAGACTTGATCTCTTTAATGAGCGTGTGCTCGATGGCTTAATGGAACCGCAACGTAACAAATGAGCTTCAGTGCTGAAGAAAGTGTTTCAAATTTATGTACGGTTTAAAACTGAAATAGCCATCCTGAAGACCTTTTGGTGCTGTTCACAATCTTGCCCTTCTGATAACC